ACAAACGCTGGCGAGGATGTGGAGATATTGGGACACTCGTACCCTGCTGGTGGGACTGTCAAATGATACAATCACTGTGGAAAGCAGTATGGCAATCCCTTAAAAAAAGTTGGAATTAGAAATATCATTTGACCCAGCCATTCCATTACTAGGTATATATCCTGAAGAAATGAGAGCCAGAAAAAGAACAGACATATATACACCCATGTTCATCACAGCACTATTTACAATACCAAAAAGATGGAAACAACCTATCAACAGAAGAATGGACAAGGAGACTATGGTACATACACATAATGGAATACTATGCAACCCTAAAGAACAATGTAGAATCGGCAAAACATCGCATAACAAGAATGAACTTGGAGGACATTATGATGAGTGAAGTAACTCAATTATAGAAGGACAAATACTGTATTATCCATTATTGTGAAAAGTCACAGAAAGGTTTATATATGGCAGGAAATTTTCTTTGTTGGTTACCAGGTGTAAGAGGGGAGGAAACACTGTTAGACAGAAAAAGTATTGATTCGGGTGAAGAGAAGGGCAATGTACCACATGTGAGTGATCAACACAGTGGCACTGAGGAAGAGGAAGATAGAGAAGTGCATGGGAAGTACAGACAACAAAGATGAACCCTTTTGCACATATAGTACTGTGTTGTCAGTGAAGGCAAACATTGATCTACAGGTGGATAGATGGGTAGACAGGCTATCCTGTTAGGTATGTCTATGCAGGGAGAAATGTGCCCATGACCATGTATAGGGTTGGCAGATAATGTTTCTACAAGTGTATTTGTATGTTCTGTAAGAATTCCCAGGTATATCATAGAGCTGACAAGGGAGAAGGTTGTAGTCACTTCTTGGCCACAGCCAGCTACCCAGTGGGAGCAAGTAGTTTGACCTGTGATCTCAGGACCATGGTCGCAGGGGACCTCAAGCTCATTTGGCATAACATACTACACAAAAATATTGTTCTGCCTCCTACTTTGGTGAGCAGCGACTGGGATTTTAAAAGCTTGCAAGCGGCCATCTAGATGCAATGATGGGTCTCTATTCATCCAGAGCAAAGAAGAATGAAGAAAACCAAAGATGCATGGAAAAAATTAGTCCAAGGGACTGGTACACCATGTGATCCTCAGCCTATACAACTATGAGACCAGAAGAACTAGATGATGCCCTGCCACCACTGTCAACCACTCAGAGGGGGATCTCTGTAGGATATCCTGGATAGAGTGGAAGAACAATGTGGAACAAAACTCAAAATCATTAAAAAAAAAAAAAGGGACGAGGTTTGTTGGTCTGATAGGGCCTGGTGGAACCCCTGAGACAATGGCCCTAGCTGCCCTTCAGATCTGTAACTGAACCCACTCTTGTGGCTTCCAACAAAATAAGACATGCATATGAGCTGAACATTTACATGAGCTAATACACTCCTTGGAGAGATTAATCATGGGAGAATAGAAGGGCTGTGTATGCACAGACAGCTCGTGAGGCAGGAGTGCATGGGAGTGAAGGATACAGGTAATAGGTAACTATGGGGAGGAAGTGGGAAGAGAGCTGCTACAGTGTGGAGAACTGCAGTCAATGTCATGAAACAAAATGTGTATGAACTGCTGTGTGGAGAATGAATTTGCTCTGTGAACTTTCACCCAAATAACAAAAAAAAATTTTTTAAATAAGGTTGTAGCATCTTATTGACATGGAACTTCCAGAAATGCAAGCTGAAGTCAAAAGAGGATGTGTAAGGAGGGATATCACTGCCAATGTCAAATGGATCTTAGTGTAAGCAAATAATACCAGAAAGATTTTTACCTGTGTTTTATTGACTATACAAAGGCATTTGATTGTGTGGATCATAAAAAATTATGGGTAACATTGCAAATAATGGGAATTCAAGAACACTTAATTGTGCTCATGAGGAAACTGTACATAGACCAAGAGGCAGTCACTCAAACAGAACAAGGAAATACTGAATGGTTTATAATCAGGAAGGGTGTGCATCAGAGTTTGTACCCTTTCACCATATTCATTCAATATGTATGTTGAGCAAATCATTTGAGAAACTTGACTATATGAAGAACACAGTATCAAGACTGAAGAAAGATTAATTAACCACCTGTGATATACAGATGATACAACCTTGCCTGCTGAAAGTGAAGATGACCTGAAGTACTTACATATGAAGATCAAAGACTAGTCTTCAGTAGGGATTACACTTCCAACTAAAAGAAAAGAAAAATCCTCACAACTGGACCAATAAGCAACATCATGATACATGATAGATGGAGGAAATACTGAAAAGGTATCATTTCATTTGGATCCATAATCAACATCCAGAGAAGCAGCACTCAAGAAATCAGACATTGTATTCCATTGGGCAAATTTGCTGCAATGGACAGCTTTAAAGTGATTAAGAGTAAAGACGTCACCTTGAAGACTAAGGTGTACCTAATCCAAGCCATGGTATTTTCAATCCCTCATATGCATGTGAAACCCGGACAACGAATAAGGAATAATGAAGAACTGATTCCTTTGAATTATGGTATGGGTGAAGAATACTGAAAATATCATGGACAGCCAGAAGAACGAACAAATCTGTCCTGGAAAAAGTACTGTTTTGGAAGAAGTACAGCCTGAATGTTCCTTAGAAGCAAAAATGCCTAGACTTCATCTCACCTACTTTGGTCATGTTGTCAGAAGGGACCAGTCACTAGGGGACATCATGCTTGGAAGAGTGGAAGATCAGATAAAAAGGGGAAGACCCTCAAGGAGATTAACAGACACATTGGCTGCAACGATGGGCTCAAGCCCAGCCAAGGATTGTGAGGATGGTGTGGGACCGGGCAGTTTCATTCTGTTGTACACAGGTTGCTGTAAGTTGCAATCAACTTGACAGCACCTAACAACAATATCAAAGAACATCTGACTAGAACACAAAAGACACCAAAAGGAAATTGGAAATTCCTATCCCTACTGAAAGCCTGCTTTAAAGAAAGAGAGAAAATACCATTGCTTTCATATACTTTTCAAGATCTGTTTTTTCCTCATAGATTTTCCTTTGACGGAACTTTTTTGAAAAAGTGTTCGCTTCTTTTGAAACTCAGCATCAGGTCAAGTCTCAGTCAGTCTTGGCTGAGTACAATTAGGGAGAGCTGCTGACACTTCCAAGAAATCCTCCTCATAACTAGCATATAATTTATCTTGGAACATGCCCAGTCATACCACCCATATTTCCTCTCTTTAATTGTGAAGTCTCAGGAATGGGTTTCCATTGCAAAATAGTGCTTTAAAATAATGGATCAGTAAAAGATGTCAGACATCAGAACATTTATGTGAGAACTCTATTTACTATTTCCCTCCCTTGATTAGCATAAGAGCAAAGCCCCAAATTAATCATGTTGTTGTTTTAACAGTCAACTTTTTGCTCCAATTCCACTGAAATAAGACTTGTTTATAAATATATCTTCTTACATTAAAATTTTCCAACCCACAAAGAAGAGCCCACTTAACATTAATTTCTGTAGACACATTTATTCATTTTATTAAGTATATAAAAATTCCACATTTTTGCCAGCAGTTAAAAAACAGAGGACCCTTAAGTTTCTCAGATGACTTTCTACCAGCAACCAAAAGAAAATCATCAATGTCTAAAACTTTTTAAAGCAATCAAAATGTCTATTTTCCAAAAAGATATTTACAGATTTAAATTCAAATTCTGTATTTGTCATCAATAGAATTATACAAGGGCATAAAAAGCCTCAGGAGAAAGAATTTCATTACAAAGTATTTATGATCAAGAAAATACTGCTAACCTTTAAATAACAGGAAAAATGGCAAAAAAAAAAAAAAGTTAAAGATGCCTATTTTCACAATAAAAATGTACATACATAAAGAATGAAGCTAAATATGATGCATGAGCTTCAAAATCATTCTAGCAGTGCTAGCACAAATTTGTTATAAAGTGAGGTTGCCTTAGACTCTTCTCTCTTGGGTTTAGTTATAAAAATAAAGAATGTCACCAGAGGAGGGCTTCACCAAACTCAGTCCATGATATGAAGAGCCCTTAGAGATAGCAGTAGTAACCTCTGCTTACTGGCATTTACAAATCTATTCCACCAGTGGATAGTTCTTTGAAAGACATGATGGAAAGTTTTTTTCAGGTACAAAGAAATGTTACAAATCACTAGTGGGTGCTGGTCAAGACTTGCTTTAAGATTCTAATACAAATGAGTAGTTTCATTTCAAAAAGTACTCTACAGAGTATATATTTTACAAAACTACTTTGTGCCAATATGAATTATAAATTACCTGGAAACCATTTTTCTTTTATAATTTGTCTGATTCTGTTTCCCTAAATCCTCTTTTTCCACATAGCTTCTGTTGGTCTTTGAAGTCCCTTGAGATCTCCTTCAGTGCCTACCCTGTCAGTGATCCAGGCTAGCTTTGGTCATCTTCCTACTTTCTTCCTGCATCCTCTTCTCAGTATCCCACTGTGATCCCAACAACAAATACAATTACAGCAGAAAGCAAATAAATATTATCCAAGGTAAACACAATATACTCAAAGATTTAAAATAGTGTCCTAGAAGATTTTTCACAGAAAGTAAATCAGATCACAAAGTCTTGACTATGGTTCTGACAAAGAAAAATCTATGTTAAAAATGTATTCTGTCAAAACTACAGCAAACATTAGAAATGTCTCAATTAATTATGTCCAAAAACTGTAACACACACAAAAAAGTATATATATTAAACAAAGCCTTCAACATTTATTATCAATCCCACTGTAAAACATGATAATCAGTCTTTTCCTTTTGTCTGCAAGGGAAGCAGAAAAGAAACAAACAAACAAACTCTAAAACCCATATCTGTCCAGACACTAGATTCAGTCTAACTTGACCATAAGATGCCCAAGACAAGTACTTGTTCTAGATCAATGCAATGCCCCAATAGTGGAAATCTTGGTACTGAAGGGCACGATACAAGGAACACTGCATCTCAATCGCAAATCCTTGAGATCAGAGGGGACTGGTCTGGTATATATAACACTGGTGGGGAGCCCACACTACTTGAAGGACTTTGGAAATGTGAGTCAAAGGAGCTTGGTGTTACCCCAATCACAGGATCATTCTGTGGTACTTCACCTTTCAAAAAATCATCATCTTCATCTTCTACAATTTCCTGTGTAAAGAACAGAGATCATCAATAAGATTAAAACTGGCAATTTGAAAAGCTTCCTTCAGGAATGTGCTACTTCTGTAAAGATGAGTGTGAAGAAAATGTCAAAAGCTTCCTCTAACAGGCTCTTCATTATCATGAACCATCCATATAATTCTCACTACACTTTGTGTTTGTTTAAAGTTAGATTTCTGAGCAGATTTTAAGCTCAATAATATGACACTTCTATCTTTCTCAATGTTATAGTCCTTATATCTAACACATGTGAATGAATGCTCTACCTACCAAAGAATAAACTACTAAGGAAAAACAAAATGGTCTTTCCATTGATGACTTATGAAAAAGAAGCCAGGCCCATTAAAGATGACTTTGAATGTGGAAATAAATGGGCTTCAAAGAAACTGAGACCAGTAATACTAATCACTGATGAGCAATGGAGGAAATGCTATAGATCCACATCTTCAGCACATATTTACGATGATCTAAGTTTATGTAAACCTCTGGTATAATTTTAATACAAGATAATTTAAGATGGTTACTTGGTAATGATCAAGTGGTAAAAATCTAAGTTGTATGCTTTTACAATGTTGTGATGTATACTCACAAAAATAAAAAATAAATCATTTAAAAAAGAAAAAAAAATCTAAATTGTTCAGTTAATATTCAGTTAATCTTCACTTCAAAGTCTAGATATAATACATAGTTTAAACAAAAATCCCAAACCTCTTTTCCTAAGGAAAAATAATCTGGGCTTGGAATTTATTAAAGTAGAATAAATAATACATAGTATTTATTTTGCTGTTTACTATTTGACTATGAACTGTAACCACAAAGGAGATTACTAGTGTGGTACAGTGAATTAAAAATAATGCAGACCGAAGAAGGGTTGATGCCTTTGAATTGTGGTGCTGACGAAGAATACTGAAAATACCACAGACTTCCATGGGCTGGAAGAAGTGCAGCCAGAATGCTCCTTGGAAGTGAAAATGGCCAGACCTCATCTCACCCACTATAATCATATTGTCAGAAGGGACCAATCCTTGGAGAAGGATACCATGCTTGGTAAAGCAGAAGGTCAGTGAAAAAGGGGAAGGCTCTCGATGAGATGGACTGACACAGTGGCTGTAAGGATAAGCTCAAGTATAGCAAGGATTGTTTCTTTCTGTTGTACACATGGTTGCTGTGAGTCGGAGCCAAACTGATAGCACCCAACAACAACAATAGCCATAGTATTGTAATACTCCCACCAAAAGACTGAATGGGACTATTTAAATAGGGTAGTTGTGGCCCACTAAGGGGATTAGATACCTGGCAATTATGTAATTAAAGCACATAGCTCTGGTAGCATAGTGGCTAAGGCACTTGACTACTAACCAGATGGCTGGCGGTTCAAACCCACTAGCCACTCCTCGGAAGGAAGGTTGGGCAATCCTACTTCCGTAGTGATACTGCCTCGGAAACCCAAGGAGGGGTCGCTATGAGTCAGGTCTGACTCGACGGCACATAACAACAACAACAACAACAACAGCATACTTATGGGGAAAGACCAGGCAAGTATTGTGTCTAGAACCCTAATGAGGAGACTGGTCAGTTCTGCTATCCTGCTATGCTTAAAAGAGCTAATTCCAAAGCAAACAGGAGACCTGACTACTATCAAGAAGACAAGACAGACCTATTTTGGGGAGTAGCGACCAGGGCTTAAAAGCTTACGAGTGGCCATTTAAGATGCAACTATTGGTCTCTCTGCATATGGAGCAAAGAAGAGTGGACAAAATCAAAGATATATGGAAATAATTAGTCCAAGGGACTAAGAGACCACCGGAACCTCAGCCTACACAATCCTGAGACCAGAAAAACTAGATGGCGCTTGGTTACCAATGCCAACCATTTGGAAAGGGATCAAAATTGGAGATCCTGGATAGAGTGGGAGAAAAAATATGGAACAAATACAAAACACAAAAATGACCAGAATTACTGGTCAGATAGAGAATGGTGAAACCCCAAGACTATGGCCCCGTGTTATACTTAGGGTCTAGAATTGGACTCACTCACGTGGGTTACGTCTCAGCCAAACAATACAAAGGTCTATGAGCTGAGCTTCCCCAGGGAGATGCATCCCTTTAAACAGTCAACCATGGGAGATTGGAAGGGCAGTATTTGTATAGGGGGAAAGCTACATACATTAGGTAGGAATGCGTAAGTAAGAAGGACATAGGGAAGGGGTAATTACATGGAGGAGAGCTCTTCCATGGTGGGGACTGAAATTGGTGCTGTGGAACAGTATGTGTATGAACCATTGAGCATAAAATGAATCTGCTTTGTAAATTCACACCTAAATCACAATAAAAAAACTAAAAAAGAAGAGATAGAAAGTAATGTATTCTTTGGACCTGGGTCCCTGCACCAGGAACCTCTGAAGATACAGCTTTAACATCATAGAGATGGCAAGAGACACAAGAAGTGGTGGCAGAGAAGCTATGGCAGCAGAACCAGGATACCAGCAGATGGCAGACTTCCTGGCCCACAGAGCAAGAAAGCTGAGAACTTTTGTGCAGGAGGTACCAGACACTTGGTGGAGCCAAGTTTGCCAACCCACAGAGCTAGAGAACTTTGTAATAATTGCTTGAACACAGCAGAAGCCAAATGGCCATGGTGCTGAGGCCAAGAGTTACAGAGAGGCCTAACTCTGGGCAATGCTGAAAACAGGCTGTCCTGATCAAAGAACTGTATCCTGAGTTGTTTCTGATCTTGAATTGTAATTTGTTACCTCCCTAATAAGCCTCAGTGATACCGCCTCGGAAACCCAAGGGGGGTTTGCTATGAGTCGAAAT